TATTTTTAAAAGATTTTATTTATTTATTTGACAGAGAGAGACACAGCAAGAGAGGGAACACAAGCAGGGGGAGTGGGAGAGGGAGAAGCAGGCATCCTGCCAAGCAGGGAGCCTGATGCGGGGCTCGATCCCAGGACCCTGAGATCATAACCTGAGCCGAAGGCAGGCGCTTAACAACTGAGCCACCCAGGCGCCCCGATTGGTTGGTTTTAAACTGATGTTCAGGGGCACCTAGGTGGTGCAGTCAGTTAAACATCACACTCTTGGTTTCCACTCAGGTTGTGTCCTCAGGGTCATCTCTCTCCCTCTCCCTCTGCCCCTCCCCCTGTGCATGCAAGCTTGCATGTGCATGCTCGCTCTTCTCAAATAAACCTTTAAATTGATGCTCAGTTTTTGATAGGTGATATAAGGATTTGCTTCTTTACAAGATAAAAAGATATTTTATGATGAATTTAACCAGAACCCTAAGTTTTGTTCTTTGTAATAAATCAGTTTCCCTTTTCAAAATTCTCACAGTGTTTTTTCCTGGATTCCCTCAGTTCTCAGTTTTCTCTCAGTCATTCCTGTACTTGCTAACCTTAGACTGCCTCAGCTCATGTATAACTCTGATTACTAGTATGATCCTGTCTCATTGGCTTTGAAGTGTGATGCCTTATTAGCATTTTACCCCATGTTTTCTTCTAAATGACCTCCCCTATGCTGCTACCTCAGATTACTCTCTTATCACAACTTTCTGAACCACTCTGGATGTATCCTACAATTCTCTATTGAATCAAGTTAGACTCCTGAATTATATTTGGTTTTTACAAATGTGTTTGAATGTGTTAGTCACTACTAAAGGAAACAAACAGTAAGAGACTCTTAAATATAGAGAACAAACTGAGGATTGCTGGAGGGGTGGTGGGTGGGGGGATGGGATAATTGGGTGACGGACACTTAAGGAGGGCACTTGATGTAATGGACACTGGGTGTTATATGCAACTGATGAATCACTAAATTCTATCCCAAAACTAATACTATACTATATGTGAACTGACTTGAGTTTACATAAAATCTTAAGAGAAAAAAAGACAACTAAACCATCTGTCTGTAGGCCTGTTAGGTAGTATTTCTCCTACACTTAGTTATTATTCTCTGAAGTATCCCTAGTACATAGAATCACAAAACATAATAAACTTTTCTTTTTATTAACATACATCTCTATATATCCATTTATTTGTGTTTCCTCCTTGTCTCCATTTGGACTATACTGTCTTCACACCTTTGTCTTTCAGTTCATTTGCTTTGAAACTTGGAGCAAAGGGGATAATTGCCTCCCTAGGCTGTTAGATTCTTTTTTTCTTTCTTCTCTCGATAAATGTTTTATGGTGATATCCTGGCTATCTTCACTTCTCCATTTTAATGAACTCTTGAGCTGTATCTCACCACACTGCTCATTTTTGTCTTTTTAATAAATACAGTTTTATTTTCAGTGCTGGTGTAAGAGGAAAAAAACTTCTGTCTTATGATTTCAAACTGAACACTAGTAATTCTGCAGTACCTGAGGAGCCTACCATCAATGCTGTTTAAAAAGATTCTTTTTATTTTTTCTAAAAGATTTTATTTATTTATTTGACGGAGAGAGACACAGCGAGAGAGGGAACACAAGCAGGGGGAGTGGGAGAGGGAGAAGCAGGCTTCCCGCCAAGCAGGGAGCCCAATGCGGGGCTCAATCCCAGGACCCTGGGATCATGACCTGAGCCGAAGGCAGATAGTTAACAACTGAGCCACCCGGGCGCCCCTGTATAAGAAGATTCTTAACAAAATTTGATACACAGTTAGAATGCTGCAGCAAGACAGGCAAATCTTAAATTTGCTATTTTCCCTAATTTTTATTATGAAAAGTTTAAATATACACAAAAATGGAAATAATGATCCAAAGAACAGTCTTTGTACCCAGTACTCAACTTCAGTAAGTTATCAGCACTTGGCCAGTCTTGTTGCAGCTATATCCTGCTCCTTCAACACTTTTTCCACCTTGCTAGAGTATTTAAAAAGAAATGCTAAGTGGCTTCTTTATCCTGGTGCTGTGTCGTCACGAAGCCCATGTCGTCCCTTAGCTGAGATGCCTGAGGAAACCCAGACCTAAGACCAGCCGATGGAGGAGAAGGAGGTTGAGACATTAACCTTTCAGGTGGAACTCACTCAGTTGATGTCCCTGATCATCAATACTTTCTACTCTAATAAAGAGATCTTTCTGAGGGAGCTTATTTCAGATTCATCAGATGCTTTGGACAAAATCAGATATGAAAGTTTGACAGATCCCAGTAAGCTAGATTCTGGGAAAGAGCTGCACATTAATCTCATTCCAAACCAAGATCGAACCCTCACTATGGTGGATACTGGGATTGGCATGACCAAGGCCAGTTTGATCAGTAACCTTGGTATTATCGCCAGGTCTGGAACTAAAGTGTTCATGGAAGCCTTGCAGGCTGGTGCTTATTTCTATGATTGGCCTGTTTGGTGCCTGTTTGATTGCTGAGAAACTGACCATGATCACCAAACATAATGATGATGAGCAGTATGCCTAGGAGTCATCTGCAGAAGGATCGTTCACAGTTAGGACTGATACACGTGAACCTGTGGGTCATGGAACAGAGGTTATCCTGTACCTGAAAGAAGACCAAACTGAGTACTTGAAGGAAAGAAGAATAAAGATGATTGTGAAAAAACACTCCCAATTTATTGGCTATACCATTACTCTTTTTGTGGAGAAGGAACGTGATAAGTCAATGA